GCCTCCCCAGCCTCCCCCCGGCCCGGCCCGGCCCGGCCCGGCTCACCGAAGGTGCGGCGCTGCTTGAAGGGCCGGTCCGACGGCATGGCGGCCAGGGCGGCGCGGCCCGCGAGCGGCTCCTGTCGCGGCGCGGCCTGCGAGGGCGCTGCGGCGGAGGGGGTCACTGACGTCACCGCGGCACGCCCGGAGGGGCGGGGCTTGTCTCGGCTCGGCTCGCGGCGGGGGAGGGAGGAGCCCCGCCCACCCCACCGCGCCGTGCCGGGGCGGGACGCGGGAGCCCCGGCGGCAGCGCGGCTCTGCCCGGGCTGAGCGAGCAGCAGCTGCTGACCTCCGGCCTTGCCCCACGCTAGCCCCGGGCTGCGGCCGCCGGAGATGCCCGCAGGACGGAGGTGTCGAGACTCCAGCGCGTGGTGGCTGCTGCTTCCGGAGATCCCGGCTCTGGCGTCCCAGCGCAACCGCCGGCACTACGAAGGGTCCGCACGTGTCCGGGAGCACAGACCACGGGCCCGGTTCTGAGCTTCCTCAGCGCACAAACCCAGACACAAACCGACCCCATCGGGGTCACTGGATACCTGCAATTCCCATGGCTGCCTCCATCATTTCCCAACTAACGAGTCCCTTGTTTCCTGCATTCAGAGCTGCATTTATGCTGAATATTTTAAAGACTACAAATAGGGCAGGCTGTTTCTGAATAAATGAATCAAAACCACACAGAACCAAAAATACACGGAATGTCAGCATTCCATGGAGAACAGTGTTTAACATCCCTCCTCAGTGTAGGTACACTGCAACCAAAGCCGCATTCTGCCAACAGTGTTTTATTGCTTACAGTGAACTGGCACAAAACACAAGTGAATGCAGAATATTAAAGGATTAAGTACAGCCTCAGTAAAAAAAAAAAAGCATCTGTTAAAAACTGCTCCAATTATTGAAAGTGTCACCAATTAAAAATAGGTTTAAGTATAACCAAATTCTCTTCTCCTCTTAGAGCTCTCCAAGAAAGGAAACAATTACTTTCATGGCTAACATCATGGATTTTCCTTGACCAGGCAGTAGCAGTAGTTAAACAAACACAGATGTGTATGGAAGACTCTTCAGAGTCACTTTTATAATTAGGATACAAGTAGAGATGTTTCCAATACAGGTCCTTTTAATCAGAAAACACGTAAGGGAAAGCAGTAATGTTGAATGAGGCACGGCAAGGTGGTCAACTTTACAGACTGCATCCTCAGGCAAGGCAGTTTTATTACTATTAAGTGTAAACCCCTTTCTGATGAGAGGCATGAGGAATTTATAATTTAGTGGTTTGATCCCTGATTTTATCCATGCAGACTGACTTCATTGCAGGACTGGGATCATGATTCCACAGATTATTCATACACCTGGAAAAGGAGAAAAGACTCTGGTTCATGGAAGCTCTGGAGCTTCCAGAATGTTAATGTACTTACAGAAATGGGACATGGATCAAGGAAGTTCTAATATGGCAGAGTGTGATTTATACACTACTTCCTTCAGCCCTCAGCCTTCCTGAAAATTCTTGCACACACTAATACCTCTTCTGCCTGTTCCTGCTGCTGTTGTTGGCAAAACTTCTTATTTAAGGAGGTGCACTTTGTATCAAAAAAAACCTGAATCAGTCAAAGGTTTTGAGAGGATAGCAGAAACCAGCCATGTCAACCCAGCAGCAGCAAGCTGTCCTAACATGACCTGTGATCAACAACCAGGTTGACACATGACAGCATTCCTACAGGGTAAACACCACTGATAATAAGTACCTCTAGGTGCTTGTGAAACCTTGCTAAGCGGAGGGAAATCTCCATGAAGGAATCCTGCAGTCCTGGTAAAGGAAGTGTATTTTTGTCAACAGAAATGGTGCTGATGCTCAGGCTCACTGCCCCTGCACAACCCAGCTACCACAGCTTTTCCTACACATCATTCTGGTTCAAGGAGCTGCTTTAGCTCTACCAACATAAGGCGAGCCTATGTTGTGTAACTATCTATGCCAGACTTTCATCCCCTAAAGGTGTAGCTATACATAACAGTGTTTAGACAAGATCAAACATAAATACCCTGTTGGTGGAGTGCTGCACAGAGCTCCGCCACCTCCGGCAGACAGGGTTGCTTAGGAGGGTGCTGCAGCAAACACAAGCTGAAGCAGCTTAAAAGAGCTGCTCTCAGATCCACAGGTGAGTTTCTACAGGCCTAGCTCTGGCAGTGTGAATGTTATCACCTTCATTCCTCTGCCAGAGCCTTACCTCAGAGCAGTATCAGCACAAGAGAGCATGTCCTTGGGCCTCAAGTGCTGCTGTTCACAGTTCAGAGCCACCCCTCAACCATGAGCTCGTTAACGCATTAGGGATTGGTTTCCACATCTCAGCAGCAGATGCCTCCTCTGCCTTCAGAGAGGAATCCATCCCAACAGGCTTCTCCAATTAGGCCAGTCTCCTACCACAACACAAAGCAGCACTAAGGCGCAGATCACAAAGGTTAGTCACGTCCTCCTTTGAACCACTTCATCAGGATTTCTGGTTAGACAAAAGAACTATAATGCTTATTTTTCTGCCCTTTCTCAATTAGACAATAATTTTACCATACAAGTAACTAGGCCCAGTCTCAGCAAACAGGACAAGAAGTCAAACTTCACCCCATCTCTTTCTTGACCCTCTTTATGATACCTCAGGAAAAGTGAAATCCTCCTTGCATACAGCGAAATCCCAACTTGCATACAGAGGAACTGCTTCCAGTCAGATCTCTGAGACTCTCTGATGCTCCAAATAAGCCACTTTGTCTCCATGGTAATTATTTATATGGAAGCTGTTGTTCTTCAGTCTCATCTACCCTTCCCCTTTTGAAAAATACTGAATTAACTTTGAATGCTGGTGTGAAAGTAGCACTAGCCTGGCATAAGCAAGGCCCTGCTCTGACGAGATGGATTTGACAAGCTCCTCCAGACTCCAAAACCACTTTCTTCAAGACCCCGTCATTCAAATTCCTATTTCAAGTCAGACTGCTAACAGTCCTTGAAAGATAAAGCATAAAACCCCCCAAACCAGCTCCCAAACCCCAATCAATCATCACAGAGCAAGACCTCCGTAATATCACTGCAAGTTTATAGTCTCAACACAATGCAGAAAAAGGGCGCAATTGTGGTTCTAGAGCTTCTTTGTTGAAAAAAAACAAACACCTCAACACTCTGTCCCAGAGTCAGGTATGACACTAAGCCACTGGTAGGCCAGCTATCCTTAAGGAACTGTCCAAAGGAATTCATGGTACTAAAGAAATTCTTCACTGTTCAAAAGGGTAATACTGCCACCTACCAGGGAAAGCCAAAATACAGGAGCAGGTCACCACATCCAAGGAAGCATTTCTCCGGCTATGAACAGCAAAAGATAGAGACAACTGAAGTCACATTCTTCTTCTGCCTTTTGTCACTGTTCCGTTGTTATACAGAGGCTTGAGCTTGCTGGAGGGCATTTACTAGAAGACAGCATTCAATTACGTCACGACAGCTCACGTGCATTTTATAAGCTGGTGTGTATCAGGGACTACTCCAAACGCAGAGCATGATTTCAGACCCTATGCACTGGTTTGATGGCATGGCTTAAACGAAAACTTAGTAATAACAGGGGCACTGAAAACATGCTGTGTGAGTTCTCTCACAACTTCCTGTGTCCAGGAGGTGGATGTTTATGACAGTCACTTCTTGGCAGGATGACAGCTCAGCTACCTGAACTTCTATAAAGCACCCTACCCTGATGCTGCAGGACTGGCCACCTTAGAGATCTCAGAAAGCATTTCTCTGCTTCCTGGTCATACCTACCTAAAAAAAAATAGACATGGTCTATTAATTAATACCCAAGTCTGAAAATGCACATAAAATTTAACGCTGAACATAAAGGTTTGAGTCACCACATACCCACCCCATCACCTCGTGCTCTGAAATCCAGAAAAGTGTCCAAGTGACATTTGTACTAAAGACACCAAAACTGCATTGCAGCCCGTCACCTGGACTATCCCCAGCCTGCTGAGATCACCCATAAATTCTTAGTCTATTCCTCAGTGTAATACTGGACAGTATCACATGTTCCTACTACTGCTTGTAATTTTGAAAGAACAGGGCTAAACATAAGCTAGACACTTCTGCTGACAGGTACATGGCTCAGGAGTGATCCCTCATCAGCACAAGAACAGAAAACTGCAGTTACTCAGTCAAGATTCTTTCTTTAACTGAACAGTACATGTCATGCCTGCAGGCTGTGCCTCTCTGCTCATGTGCACCTGCAGAGAAATTCCTTTTCATGCTAGTAAAACATTTTTACAACAAGATGTCTGGGACCAGACCTGTGAGGAGGCAGCTGCACTACCTGCAGGCACCCCTTCCCTTCCCTGTGGGACACGTGAGACTGGGGAAGGATCCAGTTCCCCAAGCACTGCTCCTGCTGTAGCAGTTGGCTGGACAAGGAAAATGCAGAGCAAGGCAACAGGCATCATTTCTGAATCTGGGCTACAATGTTCTGCACATCACTAAGACTCTTCAGTACAAGCCAGAGCTGTGTCTGACACACAAGCGACAAACGTCTTGAATGCAGACATTCTGCACAAATTCTTGAACTCTGTGTGCCATTACAAAGCTCTTTTGAGGCAACAAAAATAACCCCTTTAGTATCGTGGAGGAACCAGATGACCCTTTTTTCTCAATGGCCATCAATAAAAAAACAGTGAAGGATGATACCAAATCAAATTGGCTACTGAACTGTGATAGCAGGAGAGCTCTAACAGGCAGTCTTGATGGCCTTAGCCACAACACTTCTGCCTGAAACAAAGTGGTAGGAAAATGCTCCAACATACAACGCAATTATGAGTACAGTGCATATACAACTAACAGTTATTTAAAGAAAGCAACAGATGAATAAAAATAGTCCTAGGAAGGTTCTACGTTCTGAAGAACCCCTCGATCAATCCTGAGCATAATGAAAATCTTCAGAAGGAAAACACAGAAGTCAATGATGACACTTTTTAATTTGATATGGTCATACTTTGTGTCAAAATAACTTGTCAATAGAGTAAGACAGAACTAGAGAACAGGCAAGTTTCATATTTACAGTCATTCAGAAGTAATAGTGTCAAAGCCTATCTTGAATAGTGGTGACAGAAGCACAAGAACATACAGAGAATCACCTTTTTTAGAACATTATTAGAATTTTATTACATTATCTTGCTAACTATTAAAAGAATCTGTTGCATTTTTTACTGCCTGATTCTAATTCACCAACTCCTCAAAGTGATTTGCAATACAAAAAAAACAAAAGCCACTTTTTCTGTCTGTAAACAACAAAACCATCCACTTTTGTTTTCCCAGACATAGCAGAGTTCACACTAATGCTTTACTCTTTACCATTAAATAAAAAAAATAAAGAAAAAAACAAACAACAGTTGGGCAAAGGGAAAAAACAGACCAGGTCAGTGGAATCATTCAGTTGGATTCTGGATGACAATCAGGAAGTAGTCTTTATCTGGAGAAAAAAAGAAATAAATTACTCTTTCATTGTTGATATTTTTTTCACAGCAACAGTAAAACTCAATATTTTTTGTATCTCCCTGGTATGCTGTGAGAACTGTAAAGTTCTGACATTCATTCTCACTGAGCAAAACAGGACTGGCATGTCAGATCACTTATTTTTGAGTCTTACAGAGAAAAGGCATCAGATTTAAGAACTGCATGCTCCCAAGGCAATTGAACTTAACTCAGTTTGTGCCTAGGAAGTAACTGTAACTGGCACATGCAGTGATGGAATCAAAATCAGTGGTGCAAGATGGTGACTTCCTCCATCTCACAGGCAGGCTGCTGGGCTGCAGTGACAGTAGCTACATTTTTGCTGGAGCAATGCTCCTTCCTCTCTGGTTTCCACATGAAGGATGAAAAAAGCCTGCTTCAGCATACAAGCCGGAGCCTGCCTTAACATCTGCCTGGCCAGTCCCTACAGAGCACCCTACTGCAACTGCAGTCTCCTCCTCTGCCTCCCATCAGCACAAGCCCACAACAGAGCCAGCGCAGCATGGAAGAGCAAAGCTGAGTTCCTGCCACATTAGTGAACTCATTGCTTCCCATTCTATAATTTGATTAAAAAAAACGTTGCTGCTGATATAACTGTACAACTCCTGACTACACAAATGAGTTCAGAGTCGAGCAAATCCAGAGGAGGCCACAGAGATGCTGCGAGGGCTGAAGCAGCTCTGCTCTGGAGAAATGCTGAGAGAGCTGGGCTTGTTCAGCCTGAACAAGAGAAGGCTCCAGAGAGACCTTAGAGCAGCTCCCAGTGCCTAAAGGGGATACAGGAAGCCTGGAGAAGGACTTTAGACAAGGGCCTGTAGGGACAGGACAAGGGGGAAGGGCTTTAACCTGCCAGAGGGGAGACTGAGATTGGACATTAGGAGAAGCTCCTCCCTGTGAGGGTGCTGAGGCACTGGCACAGGGTGCCCAGAGAAGCTGTGGCTGCCCCATCCCTGGCAGTGTTCAAGGCCAGGTTGGACAGGGCTTGGAGCAAGCTGCTCTAGTGGAAGGTGTCCCTGCCCATGGCAGGGGGTTGGAACTGGATGAGCTTTAAGGTCTTTTCCAACCCAAACCATTCCAATTCTATGATTCTACAGCTAGAATATGCTCTATTACATTTCTCTGATCTGGAAAGATCTATTGGATTGCTTTATCACTTAGCCTGCAGTGCTGAACTGAAACTTCTCTCAAAATACATTCCTTTACAACTCTTGTGTTGTAAAGGAAAGACACAAAGCATGAGAAGCTGCAACATGCTCTCAAAAACTGACACTTTCTACTTTGATCAAGATGAAACAAGGAAATTTCCCACATTCAAACACGAAAAAAGCAAACTTAGGTCAATGATAAGTTTCAACCTTGAAGCAAGCAGAACAGCTTCTTGGTAAAGAAGAGATTACACAATATGAACAGAGCAGCAGGCAGAACTTTTCTCTCAGGCTGACAGCATCAACCTCATGAGAATTCTGCTGGATTCCCTGAAGCCTCCTTTGTCCCCACTCACTTTTACCTGGTGCTACCATGATCTCATTTTTCTTGGAGCGAATCCTCAGGAAGGTGAGGTCATTCTGGGGGTCGATGTCTCGCACGGTGCTCCTCGCTTTCATGATGAAGCTGTGCATGAGGCCTGCATACTGAATTGTTGTGGAGTTGTCCATAGTACTTTTGATAGGAATACCTGCAAGGAACAGGGGACAGGAAAGGTCAGCGACAAAACTCCAGACCTAACTCTGCCTTGGGCATCAGCAAGTCCAGCTGGGGTAGCTATTTATCCTAGCAGATGTTGCCCCTACACCAGGGATTAGAAGTGGTTTTTTTAAAGGCTTAAAGGAAGAACTTGAACAGAAATAAGATGTGGAAAGGCTAAGATCTGGAACCACAGGTGTAAGTGAGAAGAACTATTTACCTCTAGTACCACCAGTGCTTTACTGATGCTTTTTCATTTATTTATGAGATTTATAAATATAAATAACTAGTAACAAAAATAAATTCAGGGTGGGTGGGGGGAAAAGAAATAAAAATGTTTCAATTTTGTTCTCCTAAATGGGAACTTCTTTTCCTACCAGAAAGGCTCCTGAACCTCACAGTTAAATGATTTTCAAGTAAGCCAGGCTGGCATCAGCACTGACTGTAGAGGACATCACCTGCTGCATCATATTGTTAAGAAGCTGAGGCTCCAACATTTAACCTAAGAGTTGAGGCAGTCCTGCAAGGTCCTTGTGCACCAGCCAAGAGGGCAGACCCACTGTCTGGCCAGAGCTTTCCCTCCCTTACACTTCTGTCACCCATTAGACATGTTTTCCCACAAAAAGCCAGCCAAAATTCAGCTCCCATGTCAGAAGAGTGCAGCAGCCAACTACCAAGTTTCTGACATGGCAGAAAAACTGCTGCAGGTGGATGTTCAAATAAGCACAGCTTCAGCCTGGACAGCACAATCCATCATTCATGACCACGAAAAAGCAGTGAGCAGGGACACAACGTGCATACAAGCATGCAATGATCTGATCTTCAGAATATTCATATACAGAATCATAGGATCACCTAGGTTGGAAAAGACCTTTGAGATCTTCAAGTCCAATCTCCACCTCAGTACTGCCGAGGCTACCACTAACCCATGTCCCTGAGGGCCTCATCTGCACAGTTCGTGAACACTTCCTGGGATGGTGATTTCACTATCTGTCATCTTTTTTAAGGATTATTTCTAGGAAATATTCAAATTAAACTGATAATCACACAATATTAAGAAGTTGGGCTGCTCATGGCATATTCAGAGTGCTCTGGATGAGTCTGCTATGTTGGACTCTTCAACTCATGAGTCCCATGAGGCGACAAGCATCAGACGGCTCAAGTCCACCAAAACAGCAGTATTCTGGGCATGCACAGCAGCAAGACTGCAATGTCAGGAGCTCTTTTAGTGCTACTAATAAAGGCTTTGACAGAACAGTCTCAGACACTGCCATAACTAAAATATTTCTATGCTTTTGCAAAATTTTTTAATGTATTTATTTCCTAAAATAACAAAGTGAACTTGCAGAAAAGCAGAAATGAGAATTGAGTTTTCTCTTGTAACCTAACTACTGTCTGTCTTTTGGTTTCAGGTATATCTTTACTAAAGACAGAATGTAACCTAAACACAAGTATAACAATCAGCAGCCCTTAAAAGCGCACAGCTGGAACTAGCTGTATCTCAGCAAACCGAGAATGACATCGTACCTTCCGAGTTCACAACAATGATTCCCTGCACTCCCTTTTGGCTCTGAATTCGCTTCAGTGTTTCTTCCACCTCAGCCTGCAAACAGAGAAAGCACAAATCAAGAGAATATTACAGCTGCTGTTTGCCTTCCACCAAAGCTTTGTAATACTGTGCCTGAAAGCCACACAAAGATGTATCAGGCACATACCACCTACACTGTTCTACGCAGCTAAGCACCTGCACTTTGGTACTACCTTTTCTGCATGGTCTTTTCAGTTGTCTTCCGTCTTTGCTCTTCACTCCTCTGTGATTACAATACTGGGGAAACGTGGAACTCCCTCTAATCTTTCCCAACCCTCCTGCAACCTCCCACATCTGTTCCTTGCTGTAGGCTTGCAACTAGATGATTAGATTTGCTTAGTCAGGCTGCTGCAATTTACCTGTCAAACAAATATCATGTATGAAAACATATATGGAATTTATGAAAAGTAGAAGATACATTCTGAATGCAAGACCACCTTCCCTTTTATCAAATTAATGCTAAGAACAATCACAAATAAGGGTAAAAAACAATAAATGCCATTTATATATATATAATTATGATTTGTGTTGGAATAGCTGCAAGATGCTCACAGAATCAGAGAGTGATCTGGGTTGGAAGGCACCTTAAAGCTCATTTAGTTCCAATCCCTTCCACTAGAGCAGCTTGCTCCAAGCCCCTGTGTCCAACCTGGCCTTGAACACTGCCAGGGATGGGGCAGCCACAGCTTCTCTGGGCACCCTGTGCCAGCGCCTCAGCACCCTCACAGGGAAGAGCTTCTGCCTGGTATCTGAACCAAACCTCCCGGGAAAGCACCCGCTGAACACGAACAGGGCCGCACCCGCGCGTTCCTAGCACAGAACCCAAACCCGAACCCAACTGGGGGGGACTGAGAGAAACCGGAGAGAGACCCAGGAGCTGCCCACAGCCGCGCAGCGCCTCGGACGCGGACGGACCCCGCTCGGCCCAGCCGCCGAGCCGGGCGGGGCAGCCCCACTGGCCCGGGCGGTCCCAGGGCCGCGCATCTCCGCCTCACGAACGCGGGGTTTCGCTCTCCGGAGCTGCATTGAAGGCGCGCGTCCGGCGGCACCGCAGGGAGCCCGCCCTCCCCTCCTCAGCCCGGCGCCGACCCGAGCAGCGCGGCCGCGGGCTCACCCACCATCTTGAGCCGCCACCGCCCCGTCACGGCCCCGCGCTGCGCCTGCGCCCGGCCCGGAAGCGCTTCTAAGGGCGGGTGTTGGTGAGGTGAAGGCGGGTGAGCTCTGCCCTCGCATAACGGCGGCGGGCGGAGAGGGCTGACACACGTGGAGCACTGTGGTACGGTTCGGTCCTCGTTACAGGGAAAGGATGTGGATGGGCAGGAGGGGGTCCAGAGACAGGCCACAAAGATGCCCCAAGGAGTGGCCAGAACGTGAGGGAAGCCTTCGGACATGAAGGCTCAAGGCAGATGTCACCGTATTGCAGTAGTTAAAGGGTGGCTATGAAAAAGAGTCCCTTTATACAGTGACTGCATGGAGGAGTAACGGGCACAAGTTACTCTTGGGGGGACGGAAAAAAAAGGAAAACTTTTTACACCAGAGAAAAATCACCCATTGGAATAGGCTGGATCCAATAGGTTGGATCGGGTCCCCAGCAATGGTCATGTTAAGATCTGGACATAAAAAGTTCTGGGACATTGTATCTGGCTCTGCTTTCCACAGAAAGGTTGACCACATGATCCTCAGCATCATTTCCAACCTGGTGTAGGTGACTGTGATTCCATGAACAATTCCTCGTACATGGCCGTGTTTCTCGCAGCTTGAGGAGCATCTCAAGAAACCTTGGTCAGCGTTGGAACAAGCCGTGCCCGATGGCAGCACCGGGCCAGGGGACCTGCGGCTGCCAAGGGGTCGGTGTGCGCACCCTCACCTTGGGTCCCTCGCCCGTGCCCAGCCCTTGCCCGCAGCTACAGAGAGCCTGAAAGAGCGCTCTGGCAAGGCAGGGAGCCCATGCGGGGCGTTTGGGATGTCCCAGCACCCAGTGCCAACAGTACCAGCCCCCTCCAGCCCCAGGAACCCAGAGCAAGTCGAAACCACTCTTCTGCCAACGCTGTTTGTGTGTGCTCAGCAGCAAATACAAAGAGATCTTGGGTCAGAAGAAGATCAAGAAATGTACTTACAGAGCAACAAACACCACCACAGAAACTCCACAAAACAACCTTCTAACACCAAACTACAACTACCTTACTTTAAACTGCAACCTACTAAGTGCAGCTCTTCTACTAACTTCAAATCTTCTACAAAAAACAACTCTTCTACTAAAAAGTACAAAACAAAAACTATAAAACCCACAAATCTCCTGACAAAAAACCAGCAACTCTTCTTATTAAACCATCTTCCTGCTCCCTGAAGACCCCCATCTCGGTCGTCCCTGGAAGCAAGCAGCACAAGGTCATTTCAGTGAGGCTGTGATGGTCACTGCGCTTGCCGCAGCCTGGGACACGCTGGGGAGAGCGTGAGTCTGCTGCGGGGCTCAGCCCCGGCTGGGGCTGCGAGCCGGGCTCTACGCGATGAGGCTCGGCTCGCGTGGCCCAGAGGCAGCGCAGGGCAGCGATGTGGTGGCGCTTGTGGCACCGGGCACCGTGTCCCTGCAGCAGGGTCAGCCCCAGCGCGGCAGCCCCCGAGCCACCCTCACTGCCGGCACTGGATGGGGGCACGTGCTGCCTTACCGCTGCTCACTCCATCTCCTCCTCCTCCTCAAAATAGATGTCGACATCCGTGTGCTCTTCCTCCTCCTGCAGCCCCACATGGAGCCTGCTGGCAGCCTCGTCCTCCGGCTCTAGCGTGTTGAAACAGCCTGAAGCAAAAGGCAAGCACAAGAGCGCGTTGGTGCTGTCCTGGGCAGCGGAGCAGAGCAGTGGGACGGGGCTCTGGGTACCCGGCCCCCTCTCACTGCCCGGGCAGGGCAGTGGGTCCCTTGGGGACGCCGGGGGCTCCTTGTCCAGCAGCACGAACCAGCTCTGACAGGCTGGCGGAGGATCCTGCGCCTGCTGCGCTTCAGCACCTTGCGGGGCGGTAAAGGCTTGAGGACCTGCCAGAGCAGAGGGCAGGGGTGAGCGGCCGTGCTCCCTGCCTGCGGGACCGGGGCACAGACCCAGCGCTGCGCCTGCCTTGGCACCCAGCGTCCTTACTCTGCGTTTGCAGGTCTTTTCCTGCTCGCTCCGGCAAGAGCTGGGCTGTGCTGCCAGCAGGACCAGGGTGGTCTTCCCGTGGGGCTGCACGGTGGCACCGAGTCGGTGACCGTGGAGCAGGGAACCAGGGACTACAGCAGGCAGCGGGACAAAATGGCTGGTAGCAGGGCAGAGGGCTTGGGGGTCCAGGAAGGGTCAGAGGGAGCGCAGGACAGGTGTAGGGTGCAGGGGCGAAGGTCTGTGTTGCGCCTCTCACTGGTAACGGGCAGATGCCGGTGGGACACGGGCTGCAACAACACAGCTCCGTGACACCGGAGTTCAGGACCAGCTGCACAGCAGGGGACACGGACAAGCCGTGAAGGGGCTGCAGCTTCATAGGGGACATGGGGCAATCCTAACTTTACCTCTTGTGATGACTGAAATACACTCTTGTGCTTAAATAGACAGTAAACTGGTTGAACGCTGTGCTGGCCAGTTCCACGGGGCCAGGACCCCCTGCCACAATCAGCCTGGGACCGAGCTGAGCAGTGCTGATGTGCTGCAGTTGGGATGCGTCCATGGGGGTGGAATTCAGCCCTGCTCAACTGCGGGATGCAGGCGGTAGCAGGACATGACTGCGTGGCCACGTCCTCCAGGCGGGCCTGGCATGGGTGAGCTTGTGTGAAAAGCTGCAGCCTACGCACAGCGAAGGCTGCGAGGGCAGCACAAGATGTGGTGCCAGCAGCGGGTGTCCAGGGGTGGAATTCAGCCCTGCCATGCTCTTTTGCCAGTGTGCAGGGGGCTGTGGGATAACTCACGGAGAATGCATACTCCCTTTCTACAAGGTTTGACGTGGATAACTTGAAGGATGATGGGTACAAGGTACATCTGGGGAGATTCCACCTCACTCAAGGATTAGTTACCACCATCATAAACAACCAGCAATTGGAATAGTTACCTCAGAGAATTGCTGGATTCCTCAGAACTGGACACTACCAAGTTTGGGCTGGGTAGAGCTTTGGGACTTCACATCAAGCTCATGCTTTGCCTATAAAGGTTGGAGCAGATGAACCATGAGGTCTCTGCCAGCTTGGTATTTCATGGTTGTGATTGAGGCAGCCTCTCGCCTCACCCCCACAAAAGCACACACACAATTCTTTGGCACATGTATGCTTTGTAACAGACAACAAACAATGATGAGACCTCCAGCTCTTTAAGTAGTTTTATAAAAGTATTTGACTTACTGAGATACTGTTACAGTTACCTGAGTATTTGAAATTACAATGCAAGGAAACTTCAACAAGGAATTTCAGTACAGTATTTTACAATCCAGTGCTGCTGATCCCAGTTTATAGATGAGTTCACTAGAGCACATATACACAAACAGTGATTCTTGAAGAAAATTAAAAGACACCACAAAAAGAGGGCTGGAAATACCAATACAGCAGAGAGCTGAGATTACAAATCTGGTGCAGCATGTAATAAAAATGCAGAAAATAAAATCATACAAACTTTACCATTTTTTTGTTTTAATTTCCTCAGAATAATAAACCTCCTTCTTTTTAAATGCCAGCATCTTGATTGAAACAATTTCCATTCTAGATCAGATGAAGACATGATGCATTTCCTGTGCATTTAATTAGTATATTAACATCTCCTGAGCTGGCCAGAGTAACAAGGCTTTGTTAGTTCTTCCATCAGCAGCTCAGCATTTCATTTGGTCATGTCATTCTCCCAAGGGAAAACTCTAAATAAAAGTTATTTTTAACAGTCAAGGAATTGGCATCAATTGGCAATTGCCTGCATTGGCAGACCCTGCATTGTGACATACTATGACTTCATGCAGTTTGTGTTGCTCAATCAGCTGGATGGGAGACAAATTCAGTCATCTGCTGAAAATGTTACTTGGAAGCCCAGTTCCTCACAACCTGCAATCTGGGCTTCGGGATGCTCTGGGCTCAGCTCCATCTTCTTTCACCAGCTCCCCATAAAGAGCCGAACTGCACCAGCGGCTCATATGAAGTCCTTTTTATTTCTACACAACGGGCTGTAAAAACTGAACAGATTTGTTCACATTCCCAATGCTGACAGAGCAAACTGGCTGAGGAATCTTAACCTCCGACTTCAGAAATGTCACCAGTTTTACACGAGATATTTGCTTTAATTTCTGTATATTTTGGCCAACCCCAGGTTTCACAGATTATTTTCCCCCTCTTCCTCCCTCCCAATGGATTCTTTATTTTTTTATTTCTTTATCTTTTAAAATCCTGTCTGGTGCTTGGGATATCCAGCCCCCTTTCCCCCATCCTAGTACAGCAGAAAAGACATAGAAACATGCCATTTAAATTAAAGAAAAATGGAATACATGGAATCCCGGACTGCAAAAATATATACAAGCATTTACCTTGTCCTGAACTAAACATTTCAACCATAAAAATATTCAACAGCCACACCCTATAGAACTAGGGCTAAGGCTATTTCAATTATAACTATTCTTCAGTTTAAAAATATAGGGCTGAAAGCCTTTTGGGTGATATTTATACATTAACAATAGTTCTAGGTTCCCTACATGAATCATAAAGCATTATGCAGAACACAGACTATTTGTCATAGCTTAATCTTGCATTATCTTGCTTAATTTAATCTCTCTTGGAAATATGTTAGATAACTACCTTTCATTGTAAGAATTCATACAAACAGAATATATTTTATAAGGCTTTTTTTTTTCCTCCTCGTGAGCTGTGTACTCTAAGAAATCCATCAAACCTTTCTGAAGTTGGCAGATTTTTCTCCTAGTAAACCCATGAAGTCAGATTGGTTCTACCAGCAATGGAACTGTAAGAGAGGGTCATTTCTGTGTCATCAGAAACCCTTTTCCATGCCTTTCCTAGAATATGCATGACAAAAGACCTGCTCACTCTACAGGCTGAGAATCCTGCCTTCCAGTAAGCATCTCTTTGTACAACCCAAAAAACTCAGTCAAAACCTGCAGTGCCCTGGTGGTTCTTAGACCTGAATCAGTTCTTCCCTCTTTAGTTTAGACAGAAGGGTCAAGAGGAAAGAAATGCTCTTTTCAAGACTAGAAG